ATCTTACTGCTATGTATAATAATTTCAACTTGCTCTTATACAAAAATATATTTCAAATTACGACAACATCAAGCTCAATTACGGAGTCACGCTCACCAAGGACGACCGAACGGAGAAAGCTCAGGACAATCCAAGAGATCTACTCCACTGAATATAGCACGATACAGAAAGTCAGTATGCAGTGCATTGTGGGTACAAGTGACGTTAGTGGCCTGTTATCTTCCTTTTGGTGTCGTCATAGCTATATTTGCTGTTACTGGACTAAATACGCCATCTATTGACTTAGCTTGGGAAATAACAGTTGTTATCGTTTTGCTTAATTCATCCTTAAACCCTTTTATTTACTGCTGGAAAATTAAGGATATAAGACTGGCAGTGAAGGACACCATCAGTCGTTTTTGTTGTTGCTCAAGGTAAATGTCTCGAAGACGTACGTTGATAAGGGTAGGGAAAAAAGATCACTTATGAGCTGAAAACACTATAATTATTTGGCGCATAATGGTGTCGGGAATGGGCTAAAACTTAATTGAGAAATAAAGGCTTTGTAGTCTTAAATCAGTTCTGTAGTTTTTCTGACACTGATTGTTGACGATTGTTGGTCACAGATATCTCATGATGTATGATATTCCCATCTGTATCTTTTCTTTTGCAAGCAATCTGTGTCTGTGAGGGGTTTTGGAGATGGAAGACAGTCTTGATGTTCTCTCATCCTACACAATGATGAAATAAATAGGGTTCACTTTTTTTCAGTTCAGTTTACACTAACATACAGCAATAAAGAATCGATTCTCGAGAGTTTGTTTGCGTTTCTTGTTTTATTTCATGTAACACATCACAAAATGTAAACATTTTGTGTAACTACTTACATGAAGTAAATTTAAAGTTTCAAAACAAAGGCCATTATGGATGCGAGGCGGTCGAAGCTTCATGATTCGCTCTTTCTCATACCACTTGATGAAACAACCTCGCAGCTGTAAAAATCTATGAGGCCGTTGAAAAAAAGAATTTGAAAGGCCTCACAGATAAGTTATGGGGCTCGTAACGAATAACATTGATTCGCATTCCATCGAGTGAGATTTTAAAATATGTTTACAAACATCAGGGTGCTGAGACTGCGCAGCCGACGGACTGGAAATCGTCTTTAATTATTGTCAAAAAGTAGGCCATAATCGTATTTTCTGTATAGGGAAGATACTTGTTTAAAAACATTGTTTTTGTTATTTAAATGTTCAAAACGTTAATCAAAAAGTCCTTTGTTTCACCAACCAATAGTTCTCTGGTTGGCATATTAATAACAATACCGATAATGCGAGAATAGTCTATTTAAAACGACTGTCGATCATAAATAATCCAAATAGTAATTTTACCCTTCTACTACTTTGCATTTATATTAGGCAAAGTTCAAAGGCTTCAAATTGTTTTAATCTTTAATAAAAACTGAATAGGGATCTTATATATAATGATAAACAGCCCATTACGGATAAATTAAAGGAAATACCCTCCAGGCCCGATAACGTACCAATATATAATTACCTTCAAGTTTGAAAACTAATTAAGACTGCCACCTGTATGTAGACTTTAGAATTTGTGATGCAAAGAAGGGCTCTGAACTAAACACGAAAAGACTGTTAAAAAAGAAGAACAAAGTGGACAAGCTGACAGCTATTTGTTCTGTGAAAAACTGTGAAAAAATGAGGGACTTAATTAATTTACTGCAGGTTTGGGGAGTCTGCTGCATAAATTAAATATTTATTATATGCGGTTCATTAAATTAAAATCATAATCCGATGTTTTACGATGTCTTTTTTTTTCGGTTTTGTTATTATGGGAAGAGGGGTTAAAGTTAGAAAAATCTTTACTTCTAGAGCTGTAAAAGATCAGAGATGAAAACGTTTGTCCTCTTCATAGGTTATTTTTTAATTAGGTTTGGATCTACATTTATTAACACTGGTTGTATTTTAGGCCTGGTTCATACGTCGCATTTCTGTCGTGTCGAATTCAATTCAATTAAGGTGGCCGAACAACACAATTTTCGCGTGCGCTCTTGCTAATGCCATTCAGCGCGCGCACAAGGATTACACAAAGCAACAAATGGCGTCGATACAGCGATCATTTTATCTCGTCAATGCCCTCGTTGTCTGTGCCTTTTTTCTTCATTATTGAACAAAGTGAATTTATGGCTTTACTCTTTTATTAAAAATGTATGGTAGAAAAGATAACTACGGAAAGAACCCAGCAATTCTCAGAACCCAGTTAAATGCAGCGCATGCGTAGTAAGGCAAAAAATTGCGATTGAATGTTGAATAGCTTCCTTGGAAAAACACCCATTTCTCGAGAACCACTTGCTAAAATTTCACGAAATTTGGCACGAAAATACTTTAGAAAACAAGTAACTGGAATATTTAAAAAAATTGGAAATTTGACAGAGGCAATTCTAGATATTCCAGTTAACCTTCTACAAGCGATGATTAAAGATCTCTCTGTTAAACTATTGTTAAAATAGTGCTAACCTGCGAGCATTGTTACAATCTTGTTGCACGCAAATGAAAAATAAAATCTAACGACTAGATTTTCTGCAAACAAACAAAACCGATTTTAAAGGCCTGTTCACATTTATTCATGTTGCCATGGCAACGGTACATCCGTCAATTCAGCTAACAAAATCCGAAGTTTGTGTTGTTAACTTGCGTGTTGCCAAAAAAAATCTTCACTTGTCGGCTAGTGTGCGGTGAATTCAGACAAGTCTACGACAAGATCGGGTCTTGTCGGGCGATATCTGACAGTGCTAGATCTCAAAAC